TAAATATAGAAGAACTTTGGCTGCCTGGTTTAGACAAGATGGGAGCCTAAACAACGCCCCTCTCCCCAGGGCCAAGCAATTGGCAGACTGAGATCCATCAGAATGAACCTATGAGCGTAGGCATCTCACATCCACTAAAAATTGATAACACAAGTGAAACATGGGGCAGGTTTGTGCCTGCAATATTTGTGCCTGTAAGTAACTCACTGTGACAGTCGCGCTCCGGGCAATTTAATTTTCGGATGACTCAAGCAATATCCCGATTTTTTATTTCGCTCCGCATCGCTGCAAATGGCGTATCCAGGGAATTTCAGGAGCGTAATGGTCCGGTGACTGCCGTTTGGCCTAAAGCTTTAAAAGTCGGTGATTGGGAGGAAGTAAAAGAGGATCGGGAACGACTTTGACTTCGAAGCATTCCATTCAATAAAATGTGCCCTCAAGACAAGTGTCAAAGCCATGTGTCTTTCACAGGACAGAGACTGTCTAGGGCTACAGTAAATTCATTCTTTGTTAGAAATGGGGGTTATGACTGCCTCCTAGGATCATAATGCATTTATTTTTGCAGTGACTTAATTTCGTGCTAGGAGGGAAAAGAGGTCTTCGTCAAGGTGTTTTCAGAATGGGGTTGAAACAAAGTTGTAGTACAACAGTGATACAAAATACATAGTGTTTATATACACATTGTCATGATTTGGAAGGAGCAAAACCACAGTGAAAATCGCTAACTGCCTCAGACACATTGAGATTTACAGCACAGTTAAAACTGCCCAAGAATAACACTCGGGGGACTGATGAAATCTGGTCTATGTGGACAGGTGGTCACTGTGGACAGCAATGAGAACATTTATCTGAATCATTGAAACGCAGTCACTTGTACAGGTTTGACTGTATATCAATGGCCAGGTGGTCATTATATAGGGATGGTACAGGTTTTACTGTAATACAAAATACATATGTGTGGTGTCCTGATTTCAAGGTAAGGGGTACTGAAAATTCTGAACGTATCAAGATTCACAGATTTTACCGACAAGATAAGAAGCTGCGAGACCTTCACAAGGTGAGTGCAAGGTCTCGAGATTTGGTCATGCAACCACCAGGTGGGAATTCAAGGCACTAGTATGCAGAAGGAGTATCGTCCACTATTCAGGGTAATAAGGTTCAGCTGAGTGTGTCGCAGGGGAATTACCCATTAACAGGCAACACTGAAAAGATTTTCCTAGGAGGGAAGCTTAACCTTCTCCCTACCGAGGTGACCTTATGGCACCAAATTTGTATCGGTTACGGGTTAGACAGCAGGGAGAAGGTTAAAATGTTGTATTGAATGCGCGGTGGTACCCTCATTGCTCTGCTGTCCATTTCTGGCCACATCAATTTATTTCTTTGGTTCTAGGATACGTTAGGGTGAAAAAGAGCTAGCAGACATCATAAAAGCAGAGAGCAGGTAGGAAAATTTGAATATGACTGTATTTGCTCCATAAACAAAACGAAGCATCAATCCACGGATCCGTGGGTCGCAAATTGGAGCTTCTATGGCCGGCTGGATCTTCTCTGGTGTACTATCCCTTTATTTCGGCAAATTTCTACTATTTTTCCAGCGATCCGCGGAGCCTGGTAGAGGCTAATCAATCCAGTCCTCACAGGCTTTTGTATCATTACATTTTTCCATTTAGCATAACTTTTTAATCCAGGAACTAATCAATCAATTTAGTATGGCCTTATATTTTTTATTCAGCATTTTTTGCCAGGGCCCATGAGAATATATGGGGGCTTTCAAAGGGCGCAATCAAAAAAGGGGTTCCTCTTTTTCATACATATCAAAGAAACATGCAACGCTTTGATAACCTTCAGGGCAAAGGGTAAGGGTCTGCTTTGTTTCGATAAGTAGCTGATTTTATCAATTCATGACTGGAAAAATACAGGAGATACTGGCCAAAAAGACCGAATAATAATAAAAGACAAAGGAGTTTAACAGCCATATGATTACAGTGCTATGGGTTGCAAATTATAATTATATGGCTGGCTAACTCCTCTAGAATTTTTTCCAGCAACCCAACGCTGTCTATCGTAGAGACTTATAAATTGGCCATTTGTGTGTCCTGGAAGAGACTACTATTTATAATGTAGTTGAGTTTTCCGTGAGAAAGGAGGCTGCAAATGAGTTCTGTCTCGTACGCTAAGCCCAGTCAGATTTCATCCAGGCGACCATTCAGTTTGATGCTGAAGCTCCAACCTTACCACAAGTTAAACTCGCAAAGGTTTTAGTCTGTACTAAATCATTTACTGGAAGAAGAATCCACCAGTCAGGTAGGAGGCTGCTCATTGTAAGTCTCTACCAGACATCAATGGGCTGCCGGAAAAGTAGTTAGAAATTGCCAAAAAGACTGAATAATGTGCCAGAGGAGTCAGCCAGCCAGGCATAGTGGGTTGCAAATTGTGCTCCAGACCTATAGTCGGCTATCCCCTCTAGCATATTATTCTGTCCATTTGGACAATTCCTCGACATTTGTATTTTTCCAGCAACACCCGTCAGAGTCTGGTGGGGACAGAGCTCTCTATCTTGAAGCTGAATGTGGCGATGATTCCAAGAACATCTCAAGAATGCTGATTTTTCTTCAAGGGGAAGGACGAACTGAGTCTTTCGACGTGCATCACCGAACTTTGCAAACTCTTCCATCAGCCGGGACCACCTCGGCTTTATTATTTGTAATGGAGAAATAATCTACTACAATGAGCGGACAAATGAGATTGGCAGACCAGAAAACCGCCTCGAGCCATGTCCAGATTCCCCCCCGAAGAAAACGCCCGAGAGAAAATGATTTTCTGAACCCGCCCAGATTGCCCCTTTTGTCTGCTATATTGATGTTTGTAAAAGCACTTAAATAAAATCAATGGCTGGCATAATTTGATGCAACAACCACCCCCTCTTATGAAATGGTATCGCCTTTTTTCGTTGCTGTTGTGTAGGCTTTGTTTGCTATGGGAAAAGCCCACTTGACACAAGAGGGGTAGGTTGGAGCAAAGCAATTTACAGGAGATTCTAATGGAATTGCTTGGGGGCAATGTTGTCAGGGATTAGTGAGGAATTAGGCTGGAGGTTGAACAGATGTTGGGAAGGGCTGGGGCTGGAAAACCTCAGGTTCTGAAGAAGTTAATCCTGTCTATCCTTATCTGTAGCTGTCAGCTCTCAAGGGAAACGGGAGAGAGAGGACTGACAATTCAATTAAGTGTCCCATCTTGACATAAAACAGAATAAGGTGTGATAACTATTACAGTCAATAGATTTACTATGGTTGTGTCATGTAAAATCTGTTCTATGTGGACAGGTGGTCATAATGTAGACAGGATTCTTAATGTGTGAATGGGAAAGGCATGTAAGGGACTGCCAAAAAGTGGTCACTGTTTAATTCTATTGCATGTCCTGTCTAACCCACTGCCCTGGCTAGTCTTAGAAAAGTGTTGGACAAGATCAAAAGCAGGAAGGACACCTATTATCAAGACAGTCTCCTGGCAACTATCTCCCTCATATACAAATCTGTCTTCTCTCTGAGTACATTAATCTCTGATGACAGAGAAAAATGTTGTCAGCATTTCTCCAATGGGCCACACCATTTTTTTGACATTTACTATATGAAGAGCAGAGAGCATTCACTCCATAAAACTGAGGCATCAACATGATCAAGGCATAAACCTAGTCGTCAGGCATTGATATCATTATCAAAGTTCTTCCAGCTAAGCATTTTCAATAATATGAGAACCAACAAATTAGATTGGTGTGGCCTAAAGAGGAAAAACTTTTTGTAGCGGGATGTCCTTTGACATACGATACTTGTAGCCCCACTTCCCCTATAACAACACATCTTCACATTAATTAAGACGAATGAGCCGTTAATGTAATTACCTCTAAAACAACAAACTTTCCAATTCCTGCTGGCACTGCTGTGTCTTTCCTTGCACTGACCACACACACAGCAGATAACCTGGGCTTGCAGTGCCACAATCTTTTAAAAATCTTCAAATTCCAATATGGTGTCCGATGAAGACCTTTCATCCCTTCAAAATTCCGATCTAATTCCTCCCAATGCTATTTAGTTTGATCTGAGACATCGGGTGGTCATGTGTAGTGACCAGGGGGTCAGTCCACTGAAACTTGATACAAACACAGAAGGACTAATGACCCTAATCTGATCAAACAGGGCCCGGCCAAGAAAAACAAGCCCTCCCTCTCCCCTCCTTCCTGTCTAAAGGAACATCTGACACAAGCAAAACGTCCTTTGTATATTTCCACATTCCTTCTGCTCACCCCTCTACTAACAGAGGGGAACATCAGATAGGGAGCAGACTTTTGAGTCCTGAGGTTCAAGATGGCAGACATGATAGTTACAGATACATTCCAACCTGTACAGGACTGTCTCTGTCTCTAAAAGCTGAACAAGTAAAGTACTACTACTACAACAACCTAATTACTGTTATCCTTGTCTCTCATACTTCCTTAGGGAATGTTCCAAAACTTTTCATGGGGAGGCGGACTAGGAGTGAGAAGCCGTATATTTGTGTCACTCAAAGTATTTGCTACTGTCTTGTCATTTTCACCCAAGTTTTAATACGCAGTCATAAATAGTTTTCTAAGACAGAAAACAGACTTCAGATGATTATTTGATAAGCCGAGAACAGTTTTGAGGATTAAGGAGTTTAACTAAGAGTTTTTCAGCTGTATGGATTTTCCCTCTGTCATCTTATGATAGAGGAATCAAGAAACTAGTGCCCATCCTTTTGTTAAAAACATTGGCTTAGTCATGTAGGATCAGACTCAGCCAATCTGACCCTAGACCAACATGGTACATTTTCCTGAAGACACGTATGAGGAAAAAGAAACAGGACATTTCTCAACTTTCAATTTCTCAAAAAAGTATAAGACCTCGGTAGTATCCATCAGTCATTTTTCCCTCCCTTTCACTTGTGGGGAACTCTAATAAACAAACAAACAAGGAAGGTGAACTGACCTCGGACTCCTCGTCTCCCCTCTCCGACCCCTCCTTGTGTTCTGCTCCGGACTCCTCGTTCTCCCCTCCCTCCTTCTTCAGCAGCTTGGACTCCGAGTCTGGCGGAGACGTGTCGGCGAGGGACTCGGGGCTCGAGCTCTCCTGTCCGTCAGGATCCTCCTTCCTGTTGTTGACCTTGTAGTCGATCTCCACGGGGGTTTCGTTGATCGTGACCACCAGGTCGCGCTGGTTGTTCCTCTTCTGTCCACGGGGGAGGCTGCCGGTGTTGCTGCCGCCGCCCCGCGTGCTCTCGGCCTGCCGACAGTTGTACGTCCTGTCCTCCTTGTTCAGCCGCCGGCACTTGATGATGACGATGACGACGATGGAGACGAGGAGGACCAGGACGGCGCTCAGCGCGATGACAATGATGATCGGGATGCTGAATCGATCCTCGTCTTGACTGGCCGGGATGTGCGCCTTGTTCCACTCCTGTGCCGATTGGTTGCTGGGGATGTAGTCCCCATAGCGACCGCCTCCGATCACCTGCGTGCCGTTGTAAGCGACGGTACTGTCGAGAATGATGTTGATGACAGTAGAAGCGGACTGTGGCATGGCCCCGTGATCGGTCACGGTGATGGTCAGACTGTGCAACCCCTCCCAGGCCTTCTTCAACACTTTCACAGTCCTGATGTCCCCCTTGTCAGAGATGGCAAATATTCCCCTGCGGTTTCCATTGGTGATGGAATAGGACAGTTCTCCATTCGCTCCCTCGTCTGCGTCGGTAGCTTGGATACTTGTAGCAAGAAATCCAGGCTTAGAAGTCATGGGGACGTACACTACGTTTTTGTTTGCGTTGGGAAACGTGATCTTAGGAGCGTTGTCGTTTACGTCTTGTACAAAGATGTTTACGATACATTTCGCGTCTTTCTGCGGGTCGCCATTGTCGCGAACGCTCACTACTAGCTCATACTTCTTCTTTTCCTCATAGTCTAGTTTTCCGGTGGTGTAGAGCTCCCCGTTTTGCGGATCGATGGAAAATTTCCCGAACATGTCCCCGGAGGAAATGGCAAAGGCAAGTTTAGCGTTCCTACCTGTGTCTCTGTCGGCTGCGATCACTTGTCCAACCTGCGTCTTCACCTCCACCGACTCGGCGATGTGGAACGCGTACCTGTTGTTGTAGAAGGACGGCGCGTTGTCGTTTTTGTCCAGGATTTTGATCTTGAGTTTGGCGGTGCCTTCCAAAGGCGGATTCGCGCTGTCCTGAGCTACAACCGTCACCTCGATCAGTGAAGTCTCTTCACGGTCCATGGCGTCGTTGACCACGATTGTACCTAAAATGGGGTCGACGTACACGAGCTTTGGGGAGCGGTCGTCGCGGATGGAGTACCGCACCTTGCCGTTGTCGCCCTCGTCGGGATCCGTGGCGGTCACCCTCCCCACAGACACGCCCTGCGCGTTGTTTTCCGTCAGATCGAACAGGAGCTCTGGGGCGCCGAAGTCAGGCGGGTTGTCGTTCACGTCGGTTAGCACGACCTTGAAGGACCTGTAGGTGGTGCGCGGCGGCGTGCCGGCGTCACGCGCCGCTACGGTGACGTTAAACGTCGGCCTGGTCTCCCTGTCCAGCGGCGCCGTGGTCACGATCAGGTACTGGTTGTCCGCCACAAGCTGCAGACCGAAGAGCCCGTACGCACCGAGCAGGGTCACATTGACTTTACCGTTCAATCCGCCGTCTTTGTCCACTACAGTCAGATACGCGAGGAACGTCTCGACCGGTACGTCCTCTGACAAAACCACCGGCCCGTTCTTAGTGGTGACAAAGTTTAGACGGACTTTAGGAGAGTTGTCATTCTGATCCCCGACGTTGACGATGACCGTGGCAAAAGTCGGCGCAGAGTTGACGCCCTTGTCTTGCGCCTGGACGGTGAGCTGGTACACCGGACCTCCGGACGCCTCGTGGTCTAGCGGCGCCGCCACGGTCAACTTCCCCGTTTCAGAGTCCAACGCGAAGAGCCTTTTAATCGAGTCCGGAACGGTGCTACCGAAAGAATAGACGATCTCACCGTTTGTTCCTTCATCAGGATCCGTGGCGTTGAGATCGATCACAAGAGAACCTACAGGTGTGTTCTCCATGATGTCCACAGAGTACGTGGCCTTGCCGAAGACCGGGCTGTTGTCGTTGGTGTCCAGAATTTTGACGTTGAGAACTTGGCTGTCGTACAGTTTGGGGTTCCCGCCGTCGATTGCCGTTAGTATGAGCTGGTACTCGGGGTGTCTCTCCCGGTCTAGCGGCTGGTTGACCACGAGTTCCACGTTCAGTGTTCCGTCCACCCCGGTGAATGTGTTGAGAGTGAACGGCATGTGGTCCGTAGAGGATTGCAAGTTGTACGACTGGATGGAGAACTTGTCCGAGTCTAAGTCCACGGCGCCGTCCAGCGGCACGCGCGTGTCCACAGCGGTCGCTTCCGACAGGTCCATTTCCAGCACGCCGGTGGTGCGAAACCGCGGCGTGTTGTCGTTCTTGTCCTGCACGGAGATTCTCACCTGCACGAGCTGGAACACCTGTGACGGGAGCACCGCCACCTCCAGCTTCAGCTCGCACACCCTGGCCCGCGGGCACAGCTGCTCGCGGTCGATCGCCCGCTTCGTGGTCAGCTCCCCGGTTCTGTTGTTGATCGCCACGTAGGGCGACTCCGTCAGGAATTGGAAAGTCCGCGGCACGGAGGCGCGTTCTACCATCAGATCCCGCGCCAGGTTACCCACATGCGTCCCCGCTAGTTCTTCCTCCAGTACCGGGTACGTGAACTCGATCCCCTGCGCGGAGGACACTCCTATCAGCCCCAAAAGGAGGCCCCAAAACACAGTCCTAAGAACATCCATTCTGTCTTTTTTTTATTCACACAGTTAAAGACGAACGCCGTAAAATTATTTCTTCAACAGAAGCACCAAAGTCGCTCTTACCGCGCAAAGTCCGTAAGTCCTACAGTGTGGCTAGTGATGAGATGGTGGGACGAGTCTACTCCGCTAACGGTCCGCCTTTCGAGAATCCGTCGCACATTTCCTGACTCCCCGGCCGGCGAAATAAAATCCTACCCGTCCAGGCACCCCAAAGCGATTGGAAAGTCAAATCCCTCCTTCCGACGAAACACTTTGTAGTGGCGCACTCGGCGGCGAAAAGATTACAAGTACTGTAATTCAAAAGCAGCCCGCGAGAATCCGACGATAAGATACTGAGTACCACTGGGATAGACGTCGTTACCTTCACAAACTTGTCTTGGAGAGCGCCACGGTGAGAATGGATAGAAGACAATCCTTCAGTCCGCCACAGTCCTGTAAACCTTTGAAACGCGTACCCTTGAGGCGAAGAGCTGCACTGCAACGTTCGAATTCAAAAACAGAGGAACGCCGGTACACACAGCTATTAAGTCCAACACGTTAAAGTCCAAAAGCACGTCGGCACTCTTCAGGTTACCCCTCGGCCTGGTGACTTGAAGCGGCCCGTGTGTAGAATGGAACGCGACAGGGTCAGGCCCGGTCCGCACACGCTGGTGTCCAACTGCCGACTGAGCTCCTCTCCCAACCGGAGGCGGGGTTTTGTCTACGCGTTCCGACTACCGAGAGAGCAAGCGTGCGGGCCGCGCGTTCACTCAATCAGATCAATCTTTTCACACATCCCCGCTACCCAAAGCCCCGCCCACTTGGGGCTTTCCCCCCATAGCTAGCGCTCAACCCCCATAAATAAATGTATGCATCGCTGGGAAAATTGTAAAACTAATGCCTGCCTCTTTTATAAATTACACCGGTATTATCCCTTTGGTGGCCGCAAACGTGGAATGGAGTCCAAGAGCACGATCTAAATGCGTTGCCATCACACAACTCTTAAGGGCTACCACCACGGGTTTACCTCCTTAATGATTTATCATTGTCGGTTTTTATCAAGAGACACGACCTCATAGATTTTTTTTTTGCAAACACAAATAAAAGGCTTTCTACAGTAGACAGTTTATCACACAACTACTGCATTATGTTGGTCGGACCCCTACATTACGCGGGACGGGGGTGAGCAGGGTCGTTTGCATGTCAACGGTCTTGTTTAACCATTCATAAACGACGCTAACCCTGTTTTCCCCTGTGGGCACACCTTTGGTACGTCCCCAAAGACCTGGTCGTGATTATTATGGAAGAAATACAAGGGCATCGACTGGTATAGTTCAGGGAATACCGGAAGGCAAGAAGAGTCAGGGCGGGAAAGGCACTTGTAGAGCCTGAGGTCTTCAGTATACCGGTGGAATCAGAAATGCCAGCATTGGTGGCTGTTGGCTTCTTATTCCAGTTATCGATCTGACAGAAAACTAGCTAGTGTTATATAGTCGCAACCAGGCTTCTTGGTGGGCTGTAAAATGTCGAAATTGGCCCAATAGGTGGATATTCTAGCAAAGGGCTTGGCGGGTCACTGGAGAACAGATTTGTCAGTGGCAATCTCTACAAAGGAAGAGTAGCTGATTGTGGATCCAAATAAAGTCACTGTCAAAGTGTTGCCCGTGTTTTTGAGGCCCTTTGAAATTCTTGCCACAATTGCGCCTCTCCTAGTCCACGAAATGCCACAAAGAACACAGGCAAAACACTCAGACCGAGCCGGCTCCTTACATCTGCTTGAAAGGATAACGCCCGCCTCCAATTTACTGTACTCCGACATCATTACCGGCACATTTTCACCGGGATGTGAAGTTGTTTTATGGACTGTTGTACAGACAGAGGCGGGATGATGTGAGAAGAAACAACACAGAGGAGCGGAAGTCGTCACGCGTGGCCGACGCGTCTGACGAACGTTTAGCGCGTATCTGTGAACTTTGAGCAACGTGCATCAAACTCTCTCTCCAAGCAAGCTGAAGTTAGGGTCACGATTTGCTGGCGTCTCGTTGGGCTTTTATTAGTTTGTTAGTTTTTCTCTGGGTACACTGATTAGTCCAGTATTAGTCGGATCACCCCAAAAGCTGACTGACTTGATAGAAAGTACAAAACGCCTAAAGACGACAAAACCAAGATTAACTGTATATTGGTATGGGCGTACGCCCCCAAAGATATATGGCTTCGTTTTCTTTTTTTAGCGTCACTGAAAAAAAATCAACTGGAAGACCTACAAAACGCTACATAAAGACTGCAAACTAAAGCTGCTTGAGGTACAACATCGCTCTGCTCTGCCTCACGTAAAAGTTACGTATCTCTAGATCTTCTAATCTTCAACAGACATAAGTTTGAGTCCACAGGATGTTGTGTGTCTGATAAACAAATATCCGAACCTCCTCTCAATAGCTTCATCCTTCCGCTATAGACAGTGTGCTCTACTCTTGTGTATCTTGTTGTGGCTCCTAATAAACAACGCAAACAGCTAAAGATCATCAAGTGGTTTGGCCACTTCAGGAGGAAGAAAGGCTAGTGTTTGAGTCTGTGTTGTTCTGACACAGTTATCGGTACACACGATTTGTTTGCCCGCTCCAACAATCAACACAAACAAACTCAAACATCCAGCGGTCGGCGGTCTATTGTGCTACTCTCCAAGCAGAGGTTTATAGGCTTCGACTTATTTTTGACGTCTCTGTAGGCCTTTTATTTCTAGGCGTTCTTACATTTTGTAGTGGTATCTCTTTTTTCGCTGCTCTACCAGTTTTGTATTGTCTCGCCAATTTGATACTGTCTTGTAGCCACCAAAAGATCTGCTTGGAGATAACCATAGTTCGGCGTCTTGACGAGATTTGGAGGAAGGCTTGAGCAGTCTTCGCCTTATCCATGCCAGATGGTAGTTCCACCTAAATCCCTTCGCGTGTAGCTGCGAAGACTGCGACGCTTTTGTTTTCAACTAATCCGCGTGAGGCAAGAAAACCCACTGAATAATCATGGTCTAATCCCTTGGATTTGGCCCTCGACCATTAATTCCCGATTTACCCTACTAATTAATCAGTGGACAACACACAAATTGGGTTGTAGTTTTTCACGCCTCGCGACCATATGGACGCTGTTCGCGACAGAGTGCGACCCACAAGGCGTGAAACAAAAGGAAACCCCGGGAAAAGAATAACAATGTGGGTGAGAAAACAGGATTTCTCACGGTTGCGCTAGGCGCGTGCGGGCAATGTGGTTTTATCAAAAGAAGGAATGCCTTTATGGTACACTTTTGCTCCAGAGGACCAAAAACTAACCTAGAGTAATTTTTGATAGCTGAAGGTTTGCTCCCAAAGGTTGCGCATCTATAGTTAACAAGGCTGGATTTGACAATGATAGACAGCTATTGTGTATATTCTGATACTTTTGGCTTCCTCTCGCTTCTTGGTGAATTGTAAAAATGTAGGAGACTGCAGGATTAATAAAAAATGGTTATCAAAAGATGTAAGGGATACAAATGTCTCTTTGCTAAATATTCAAGAATTCAAATTTACTTACTAGTATTGCATAACAAAAACATTCCATTGCTATATAAAGGGCAATATACAGTAAAATGCATAGGTTTTCTATTTTACCTAAAGTAAATTACAAAATTGGCAGATTTTAAGCTCTAGGGTAGTACGTTTTTGTCTTCTTTGCTGTTTCGATTCTCAATGTGTGGCAACTGATCTGCGGCTTAAATTTATAGTTTTAAGGTATTTTCCTTCGTCGTAGGAATGTTTTAATTGCAATAACAATGTGGGTGAGAAAACAGGATTTCTCACGGTTGCGCTAGGCGCGTGCGGGCGTTGTGGTTTTATCGCACTCTCCGGGGCGACCGAGTCACGCGAAATTTCCCTCACGAAACAACTCCGTGTACAACAGCAGAACCTACGAGTCCCCTGCGACTTCAAGCATTATAATCTACTCGCCTATAAACCTTCGTTTAGCGCCAGTGAAAGAAAGGCAAGAAAACATCTTCCATGAATCATTTAAATCATTAGATGTATTTGTAATGTAATTTAGGCGGAAGCAATAATTTTTCAAGCTTTATTGCTGATATCCGAGCACTTCCACACATAATCGGCTGACAGGGCGAACTTCCGACTAGTTGGTAGATGATGGAATATTGGAGAATTGCAGAGTGGATCGCCACTGGAGTGGCAGCTTCGGAAATTGCGCTTGTCTTGACGAGAAAAGTGACGCATCGATTATCAGACGATCCCCCCTATGCGGCAAGGCAAGCCGCTGATTTGGTGAAAACGATTCGATGAGAAGCAATTTTGGGACCTGACAATCTCCCCGTGACCCCATTTCTGGGTGAGGAGCTGAGGGTAAATTGTTTCGGCAAAATCCCCGGTCGGTTTGCCGCTAATCTCCGATCAGATGCCTGGCTTTGACTTCTTAATACTGTTTGTCTCTTTTCTCTTGTTTTGGGCAGTCTTTCAACTTGTGCAGTTTTTTTCGGTCACACGGGCCCGGTCAACTTAGTCGTGCGACCAAGTTACGACAGTTACAGATGATTGAAAGTATTTTCCTTATGCCCGGGACAGTCGTAGGCTAGTCGTGAACGTGTCCAGCCTGGTTGACCACAAGAGAGACAGAGCTCGGTTGGAAATGTGACAGGAGGTCAAATTGATGGTCTCCTGTGGGATTTTTTTATCGTTTGTGTTTTTGTTAGTCGCGCGCGCGGCGGGACTGCCGGTCTGCCCCACGGGAAACCCGCCCAAGTGTCTCTTTTCTTCTCAGCTCTTTGTTGTGTGATCAACAAATCGATACACGAGTGTACATTTGTCGACACCTGACCTCAAAACGTCCCATTTCGTTCTCAGAACATCTCCCGAACGGCTGTTAGTGTTACACGCGCCGCTGGGGCTAAAGTGGAACCAGAAAAGTTCGGCTTCATCTGATGAGCTAAAGGATAACACGCGTTTGACACACTGAGAGACGTCTGGACAATACAGCTGGCAATATGGAAGCCAAGTCCGCAATTTTACATGAGAAACGTGCGCAATAACAGGCCAATATGGACTACTAAATTTCAATACGGCGGACCCCATTTAGTGACTACAATGCCACAATAGAACATCTGCAGTTAGTCCACGTAGGGGGGAAAATATGAAACGTCTGCGAGTTGAATGTGATGGATGGCGAGGAAGGGGATGCGTCTGTGCGCGCGGTGGGGTCAAGTTCGGACGTGTTAACAAATCTCACTTCAAGGCTCGAACGCTTTGAGTTTTGTCTTTCAAACCTTTCAAGGGTCTAGCACACATTGATTGTCCTTTTTCCGTTGTGTGTAAAAAGTGAGGAAGTATACGTCTTAAATGACAGTGTTATCTGGTCACACGTACCAAGGAAATACTTCAACCTCCTTAGATTTCAAGAGAAGGTTCTTTAACCTCCTTCGTAAGACTTTGCCAGCGGTCGAACATGTCATGGAACCACACGTACCGCGGAAACTAGGAAGCTGTAAAGTTTATGAAACCTGAAAAAGGAGACACAACGGAGGGGGGGTGGGGGGATTGGATCTATTCATTTCAGGTACTTCACTTATAGAAAACAGCCGTACAAACATACAAATACATTTAAACTATACATATAAACATTTATAGAAAAAAAGAATAATTGATAATCAGACATCGTATGATACTGTTACTGGTGTTGTACGATCTGTTGAAGAAATAGCCTAATTTTCTGCTTCTGGTATCGAATGTGTCAGTGGTGATGTAGACAAACATAGACATGGTTCTACAGCCTTTTAAGGATGGATTCGAAAGCAGTTATATGCTACAAGACATTTGGCAAACTCACTAAATTGAGTTTCGTAGCTGCACGCCAAAAAAGCTGGGAACAGTTAGTCATGAACAAAGTCTATTATAGAGCAGCGAAGTTTTCTTCTGTTTTGGCTGCTCCACTGCACTAACAAAAGAGTTGGGCAGTACTGCGGCATCGCTCAAGCGGACAGGCTCTCGTCCGTCAAGCGCACCACAGTCTCTCTGTCCAACCTAACAAACTGAAAACAGCGCGAGCCACAATTTTCCCGTTCAGCGGACAGATATTGTCGACTCACTGAGCGCAAAGTTTCTCAGAAGGGTTTAGGCAAAACTGACTGCACTTCTAAATCTCCATTTTCGGCCCGCGAGCAACGGGAAAATGCAGTTAATCTCTGAAGATTTGCGTGCCGACTTCGGTCGACTTCATAGAAGAAAGAAATGCCTGGCGTCAAAAGTTCTAGATGGCTACTCTCCAAGCAGAGGTTGTGGGGGAATGATCGTTACCTTCTTATATATGGCCGTTTTTTTTTGTCCTGATCCCCACCAACGTCGGTGGCCGCGGAGCTTCTCTGGCCAATGAATACTGCCTGGCCAATTTGATACTGTCTTTTTGTCACCGAGAGGGATCTGCTTGGAGATTACTAGATGGCCAGTTCTAACAGCAATGCTTCTGCGGCCGCCAGGCATCTACTTGGAGATTTGACTGTATACCCTGATATATAGCCTGGGTGTCATCCACGCCTGTTGTAACGCTCCCATGCTATTAGTATTTGGGAGATAGTATAGAATGGCACCCAGGCTAGCCCCTGAAGCGGTAAACTGTTCTCTTAGCGTGGACCAACTCCCACGGCATGTTATCTCTCTATGTGGCCGATTTATTATCCTCTTTCCATTCGCCTCCTGAAGCCTGGTAGAGGCTACTCTTTCCAGTCGCATCTGACAGAGGCTAACCGCGCCCGTCCAGCGGAACTATTAGCATGTAATTGTTGGTTGTGCGGGTGAGGCCAGCCACGTGCCGGGTAGGACAGAAGGCGTCCCGCCTCACACCTGATTTACACAAGACGTCCCCGGGGGCACCGGACATTCTTCCTTTGTTTCTTAAATAGCTCCACACAAAAGACGGTCCTCATTCGACCACGTGTTGGCAAGCTGTTTGCCGAACAAATACAAAATTCATCCTCCTGTCCTTGACATAAGGAAATAGTCTACTTTCGGGCATGAAGAAGTAGAAATTAGAAGAAGTGACTCGACACGGTGAATAATTTAGCAGAGGACTATCGCTTTGATCTGTTTCTACTGCTTCAGGTCGAAGGGACGTCCGGACGTAATCTCCAAGCAGAGCTTTTGGTGGCTGCAGTATCAAATTGACTTGATAGTATCAAGTTGGTAACGCAGTGTCCACTTGCCACCTAAAAAATGGCGTAATATATCAGCACAAAAAATAAAGCCCGATAATAACACATAAAAGACGTGAAAAATAAGCCGAAGCCCAAAGTGGCCGAAGCCTAAACTTCTGATCGAAGAGTAGGCAGCTTTGTGTCTGTACGGTTGAGTGAGGAGTCTTCTCGCCGCTTCCTGTACTGTGTACACCATCTGGGAATGTTTCTCGCGTTGGCCTTTGATGTTGGCATTAATTGTCTGCGGGAAGGTTTCTAACAAGTCCACCCTTCTGTCTGGACGGAGATAACGCTATAAACAGAATTGCCTGCTCATGACAAAAACTTTGCCAACTTTCTTCTCTGTGATATAATTCTTGGGGACATCTGGGTTCTGGAACCGAGGGACTGGCCTGTGAAGACCCTCGAAACAGTCTGGCACCCAGGCTAGGGTCTGTGAGAATGGGACACATCCCGTCTGCAATGAGGTTCAAACATGCCCCAGTAATTCGGAATGTTCGTTCCTAGCCACACGGTTCACGTCCCGCTCAACCTGAACAAACTGCCGGACCCGTCAAGGTCACGGCAGGGGTCGCGCGGGTCAGGGCGGCCGGCGGACACATCCGTCACCGTTTGGCGGTTCTGTGTGTGTTTCTGGCGAGTGATCGGACCCGCCCGTGTTGTGAGAGGTGGCGTCCGGGTCAGGGTGGATGGAAACCAGGCCAACTGCTTACGGGCTGACCAACGTGTAGTGTCTTGGCCCAGAGAAATTACGTAACCAGACTGATGATAATGGGATGGGTGGGGTGGTCTACCATCTACATTATACAATAAATCAAAAGTTCATGCACCGATTATGCTCTATGTTTAATTTAGGCATCCGGCTGCGAATTATGTGGAATTGAAACGGCTGATTACGCTCTGTGTAGGACATAGGCCGCCAGAAGATCTGGATGTTTTCCTTTGGCCTGCATGAATTTGTAAATCGTCTCAAAAATGATCGCGATTTTTGGCTCAATTTGGTCCGCCTTGAAACAACAGTTTATTGACCCACTTTCACCCAAATGCACTTCTCTATGCATAAGTTTCAGACATAAAGCTCACAATTCAACAAATTGTAAAAATGTAGCCTGGATGCCAGACTCATCCTAAGCTCACCTGTCTCCAGAGAAGCTCTGGGTCTAACTGATGAGCTCTGTGGTAAAATTTCCTTGGGGGCATTTTGGCCCAGAAGCCGAGGAGCTAGCCTGCATATACTGGCCCTGGCAACACGTACTACTAGCAGTTTGGCTCCCAGGCTAGATAAAATGCGAATATAACTTCCACGCGAACGTTTCGAGTGACAACCACAATAATGATCACTTTTCTTTGAACTTGGAGTAGTGCCACAAGTTGACTTTAGGTATAGGTTGACTTTGGGGGCAGCTTTCAAACCTCGATCTTTGAATAACGTTACTAGCGGTGGTTAAAAAGCGCCACCAATGAAGATAGAGTAGAACTGCAGTTTCTTCTCCACATTTATATCTTAACATTATGAACATTTTGTACTTGTTTTGAAATATTACAAATAATATAGCTAATAGAATGGTATATCTTAACCTGTATTCACCGTTTATTATTTGTAAAATTACCACCCCCTAAAATTGAATGGTACCGTTCGAATGACCTCGGGTCACCAAACGTTAGGGTCAACTCGGGGTCAGCTCGCGTAGCGTTTCGGAACGATTTTTTCGAAGATTGCGGCGTTTTATTAAAGGAGATTTTCTCGGAGTTGCAGAATTCAGTCGTGTACTATGGCTTTACGAAACTGTCTTTTGTTAACAAGGAGTGCGAGAAACTCTGTTTTTGGGGCGAAGCCTGAAAATTTTCTTCCGTCATGTCGTCTGCTGCACAGGTGTAGTCTCAAGGTCGACGCACCGGGACAGTTCTACTCGCTAACATTTCTCAAGGAGCCTTCGAGAGTCCTTAACTTGGGTTATCGCTTTTCTTGTAGAAGATTGGCTACAGATTCAGCCGAGCAAAAGAAGGACGGGCAACGCTCAGGGAAGGTAAATTAATTATGTCGACTATGTGTATAATTTTGTGTGTACTAGCAGGGCACCGATATGGGGGTGGGGGGCGGTATACCGGTGGTGGTTGATTTTTGCTACTAGTATGTAATGTGGGGCACAAAGATGAAAACAGTTACCTTTTATGTATGGAACTGTTACCTATTTACACACTGCAAAGATGGTCACTATATAACAGTAAAGGATTCTCAAGGTATATAAGTTACCCGTACAATGATAACCTTCCTCTGTGAAGTACATTGTACAAAATGTTTTCTCTTGGCTGGGAATGATATGGTATGCGGCTTGCCACGCCTTGCAGTGATGGAAATGAATCTGGAGGCATGATGCTGATGATCATGATGATATGAATATACACTGTATATGTCCGGGTAGAGACTCTGATCTTTTAGAATTGGGCAGGACTCAATGGGAAAGCACCCTGACACATAATTAACACAGCCTGATTGGAGTTTCTGTTGAGAAAGATTTTTATCAGGATCTCTACCAGTGAATTACCAATTCCACGAGAAAGGAGTCTCTATTCTGACATATACGTAATCAAGTGTATCAATCAGCTTGGGTATGCTGTGTTAAGAAGAGGCGTTTTCCATTTATATCTGCTGTTTCATACTTCTATGTTTCAGATCTGGCTTCAGACCAAGCGAGATGACTCCGATGTTGACCTTGCCTGGCCTAACGAGGCATGGTCGGATGTTGCCAAGGACATTTTCCACCAGTTGAATGCTGGGACGGAAAATGGCGACTGGAAGCGTCACCCTAGCTACCTCAGGGCGGGAGAAAGGCGTCTGTTTTCAAGGAACATTGCGGAACATGGGAAGGGGTTCGAGTATGCCGTGTTTGTCAATAAGAGAGAACAGAAGGCAGTATGTGTGTGTCAGTTTGGACCATATTTGGAAGGACCACCAGGGTATGTATTCCTATAGAAGGATTTACATAAACTACATTTAATGTGTATATTTTGTGGTGTGATGATACCTTTTACTGTTTTCTTCTATTTCTTTTGAGAAAATACAAGTAGCACAAAAGAGCAGAAAAGTGAAATGTAGTTATGATGAAAGAAGACATGCATATGCACTCATATACTCACACACATACACAATGTGGACTTGATCCGATTCTTTGGTACATATCCTAAATATTCCAACCTGCTTTTCTGCAGCTATGCACATGGGGGCGCTGTTGCTACATTGCTTGATGCAGTGATGGGTATTTGTGCAATACATGTCACGGAAAGCGTGTCATTGACAGCAAACCTCAACATTAACTACAAAAAGTATGTGCAGTCTCTTTTGTATTGATCTAGTTTATGATAGTACACAGATTGGTACTTGCTTGCTTGCTGGCACTTGCTTGCTTGCTGGCACTTGCTTGCATGTTGCTATGAAAAATACATGGTGTGTATACTATTCTTTGCTGTCAGAGATGAGATCTGTTAGGGTCTATTCTGAATGCCAGACCCATAGCATGCTAGGCCGTAATGTACCTCAGGTTGTAACTCAAGGCATCAGTGGTATAATTTCCTTGTGGGCATGTTGGTCCTGGATTGGAGAAGCTGACCTGTTTACTGTTTTCCACGAACATTGCGGAACAGGGTAAGGGGTTCGAGTATGCTGTTTTTGTCAATAAGACTTAAGAGAGAACAGAGGGCAGTATGTGTGTGTCAGTATAAAGGCCTTGGAAACAGTGTGACACCCAGGCTAGTTAGGTTGTTAGAGAGTACATGTTTATCATGTATCTTGTAACATTTTAAAATTTTTCATCCAGCCCCATCCCCCTGGGATCAACTGCCCTGTTCCACGCCAAGTTAGACAGACAGGACGATCGGAAGAGGTACATATCTGCGTACGTCACTTCTGCCGATGGCCAAGTCAACCTGTGTGAGGCCACCGGGCTTTTTGTGAAACCCACGCGAGAACAGATTGAGAAAGCGAAGAACCGCCTATCTCAACATACTCACTCTGACAAAGTTGTAGACATATAGGACATGATAGGGTGTTGCCATGTCATGTGGAGGCCATGGCACTTTTTGTCAAACTCTCACAAGAACGGATAGAGAAAGCAAAGAACCAGCTACCTCAAAAGGCGTATTAAAAACTGTAGTCATATAGGACATGATACTCAGAGACTGCTGCTGTGCTGATTGGTTACACATAGATGTTCCCAGATACATGTACTTTAGGGGTGGCTAACATCATAGCCAATACAAATTTGATGTCAGTTACCTTAGCTATATGTTATGTATTTCAAAAAGTTCAATGACGTATTTTTTAAAGATGCACAGAAGTGAGATATGTGCATGATTTTAAATTCTGATGATGATTTTAAATCTGATACAATATTTATTTACAATAACTGTACAGACCCACTGAACTGTGTACACATGCTGCGTAAGTTTTCAGCATGTGCACATGTATCACTGTTGGTATCATTGTACATTGATATATTTCCCAGTATGAAAGTGCATGTATTCTATCAAGGTATACCTGTATATGTTTATTTTTATTTAATGCACTTTATTACGACAAACACGACCATATACCAGTGCTGTTTGTTGAGAAAGAAAATATAAATCCGATTTCTCATCTGTTTGTCGACACATTGTTGTACTACTTATGGTTTTCCCTTTGGGGTCTAGAAGGGGTAGCCCTACTAGGTAGCCCAGTATGGGGCCCCAATCCTACTTTACCGGATACCCGGTTCAGTAAGGACAACACAATGAAGGCACACAAGGGGATGCAGGATTGTCGTGCTTTTCTTGAATTAAAAAAAAGGGGGTTACATTTTGCCGCAGCTCTTTCCAGCCGTCTCCAAAAGCCTGGCAGAAGCTATGGTAGTTAATTTCTTTAGATTTCTTAAAAAAAGGGGGGG